GTCCTTCATCCATTTTGAGTCTATTTTTGTGTGTGGTGTAAGGAAATGATCCAATTTCATTTTTCTGCATGTGGCTGTCCAATTTTCCCAACACCATTTATTGAAGAGGCTGTCTTTTTTCCATTGGACATTCTTTCCTGCTCTGTCGAAGATTAGTTGACCATAGAGTTGAGGGTCTATTTCTGGGCTCTCTATTCTGTTCCATTGATCTATGTGTCTGTTTTTGTGCCAGTACCATGCTGTCTTGATGATGACAGCTTTGTAATAGAGCTTGAAGCCCGGAATTGAGATGCCACCAACTTTGGCTTTCTTTTTCAATATTCCTTTGGCTATTCGAGGTCTTTTCTGGTTCCATATAAATTTTAGGATTATTTGTTCCATCTCTTTGAAAAAAATGATGGTATTTTGATAGGGTTTGCATTAAATGTGCAGATTGCTTTAGGTAGCATAGACATTGTTTTGAATTGTTATGTTTTCATTATCATTTGTTTCCATGAAATTTTTCAATTCTTCTTTAATTTCCTGGTTGACCCATTCATTCTTTAGAAGGATGCTGTTTAGTCTCCATGTATTTGTGTTCTTTCCAAATTTCCTCTTGTGATTGAGTTCTAGCTTCAGAGCGTTGTGGTCTGAAAATATGCAGGGAATGATCCCAATCTTTTGATACTGGTTGAGACCTGATTTAGGACTGAGGATGTGATCTATTCTGGAGAATGTTCCATGTGCACTAGAGAAGAATGTGTATTCTGTTGCTTTGGGATGAAATGTTCTGAATATATCTGTGATGTCCATCTGGTCCAGTGTGTCATTTAAGGCCTTTATTTCCTTGTTGATCTTTTGCTTGGATGATCTGTCCATTTCAGTGAGGGGAGTGTTAAAGTCCCCTAATATTATTGTATTATTGTTGATGTGTTTCTTTGATTTTGTTATTAATTGGTTTATATAGTTGTCTGCTCCCACGTTAGGGGCATAGATATTTAAAATTGTTAGATCTTCTTGTTGGACAGATCCTTTGAGTATGATATAGTGTCCTTCCTCATCTCTTATTATAGTCTTTGGCTTAAAATCTAATTGATCTGATATAAGGATTGCCACCCCTGCATTCTTCTGATGTCCATTAGCATGGTAAATTCTTTTCCACCCCCTCACTTTAAATCTGGAGGTGTCTTCGGGTTTAAAATGAGTTTCTTGTAGGCAACATATAGATGGGTTTTATTTTTTTATCCATTCTGATACCCTGTGTCTTTTGATTGGGGCATTTAGCCCATTAACATTCAGGGTAACTATCGAGAGATATGAATTTAGTGCCATTGTATTGCCTGTAAGGTGACTGTTATTGTATATTGTTTCTGTTCCTTTCTGATCTACTACTTTTAGGCTCTCTCTTTGCTTAGAGGACCCTTTTCAATATTTCCTGTAGAGCTGGTTTGGTGTTTCCAAATTCTTTCAGTTTTTGTTTGTCCTGGAAGCTTTTCATCTCTCCTTCTATTTTCAATGATAGCCTAGCTGGATATAGTATTCTTGGCTGCATGTTTTTCTCGTTTAGTGCTCTGAATATATCATGCCAGCTCTTTCTGGCCTGCCAGGTCTCCGTGGATAAGTCTGCTGCCAATCTAATATTTTTACCATTGTATGTTACAGACTTCTTTTCCCGGGCTGCTTTCAGGATTTTCTCTTTGTCACTAAGACTCGTAAGTTTTACTATTAGGTGACAGGGTGTGGACCTATTCTTACTGATTTTGAGGGGGGGCTTCTGAACCTCCTGGATTTTGATACTTGTTCCCTTTGCCATATTGGGGAAATTCTCTCCAATAATTCTCTCCAATATACCTTCTGCTCCCCTCTCTCTTTCTTCTTCTTCTGTAATCCCAATTATTCTAATGTTGTGTCGTCTTATGGTGTCACTTATCTCTCAAATTCTCCCCTCGTGGTCCAGTAGCTGTTTGTCCCTCTTTTGCTCAGCTTCTTTATTCTCTGTTATTTGGTCTTCTATATTGCTAATTCTTTCTTCTGCCTCATTTATCCTAGCAGTGAGAGCCTCCATTTTTGATTGCACCTCATTAATAGCTTTTTTTATTTCAATTTGGTTAGATTTTAGTTCTTTTATTTCTCCAGAAAGGGCTTTTATATCTCCCGAGAGGGTTTCTCTAATATCTTTCATGCCTTTTTCGAGCCCAGCTAGAACCTTGAGAATCGTCATTCTGAACTCTAGATCTGACATATTACCAATGTCTGTATTGATTAGGTCCCTAGCCTTTGGTACTGCCTCTTGTTCTTTTTTTGTGGTGAATTTTTCCGCCTTGTCATTTTGTCCAGATAAGAGTATATGAAGGAGCAAGTAAAATACTAAAAGGGTGGCAACAACCCCAGGAAAATATGCTTTAGCCAAATCAGAAGAGCTCCCAAATCGTGAGGGGGGAGAAAGGGGATAAAAAGGTTCAGAAAGAAAAAAGAAAAAAAAGAAAAAAAGAAACAATTAAAAAAAGAAAACCAATAAAGAAAAAATATAAAAAGGAAATATATATATATATATATATATTAGATAAACTAGGTTAAAAACATTAAAAAAGAAAAGGGTAAAAGTTAAAAAAAATTAGCAGAAGAAGAGAAAAAAAAATTGAAAAAAAAATTAAATTAACTGCAAGGCTAAAGAATCATGGGGAGAAAGCCATGAGTTCCGTGCTTTGCTTTCTCCTCCTCTGGAATTCCGCCGCTCTCCTTGGTATTGAAGCTGCACTCCTTGGTAGGTGAACTTGGTCCTGGCTGGGTTTCTTGTCCATCTTCTGGGGGAGGGGCCTGTTGTAGTGATTCTCAAGTGTCTTTGCCCCAGGCGCAGTTGCACCGCCCTTACCCGGGGCCGGGCTGAGTGATCCGCTCGGGTTTGCTTTCGGGAGCTTTTGTTCCCTGAGCGCTTTCCGTAGAGTCCGGAGGACGGGAATGAAGATCGCGGCCGCCCAGTCTCCGGCCTGGAGGAGCCAAGAGCCCGGGGCCCCACTCCTCAGTGCGCCTCAGAGAACAGCGCCCCATTACTCCCGTCTGCCTGGCCTCCGGCCGCGCTCCGAGCTCACCGAGCCTGCGACCGGTTCAAGGTAACCCCGAGCTGAGAGTCACTCCTCAGCTCCGTCTCTGTAGCCGGCTTCCCCGTTCTAATACCTGTGAGCTCTGCGACACTCAGACACCCCGATCCTTCTGTGACCCGCGGGACCTGAGGCCACACTGACCCAGCGTGGGCTTCACCCCGGTTAAGCCTCTGGAGCGATGTCCCTCAGCGGAACAGACTTTTAAAAGTCCCGATTTTGTGCTCCGTGGCTCCGCCGCTTGCCGGGAGCCGGCCCCTCCCCCCGCGGTCTATCTTCCCGTCGCTTTGGATTCACTTCTCCGCCAGTCCTACCTTTCAGAAAGTGGTTGATTTTCTGTTTCTAGAATTGCTGTTCTTCTTCTCTTCGATCCCCCGTTGGATTTGTAGGTGTTTGCAATGTTTAGATAAGCTATCTAGCTGATCTCCCGTTACCTGAAGTAGCCTCAGCTGCTACTTCTCCACCATCTTGACTCCTCCCTCTATACAATACAAATATTTTTAAATTAACTTTATATGTAACACTATTAATTAACATAATATAGTTTTTTACAAATATCCATAAATATTTTAAATGGGTTATCATGTCATCATATTACATATCTTTCAACAAGAATCCACAAACAGCTAATTAATTTAACAGAGTCTAAAATCTTTAGAAGCTATCATTGAATTGAATGTTATTCATTACTTTTGGAAGTTAACATGTTTGACCAAGACCAGCTCTTTAAAGTGAGGAAGGGGATTTAGTTGGAGTAAGCACTGAGCAACAACCTCATGTGCCCTGCTTCAAACAGGGAAACGAAAAATAGTTTGCTAAGAAAGGAAAGTCAGTTGTAGCTTTATTCTACCCACCTTGAGCTGAAAGGGAGTGCATCTGATAATCTGCTCAGCTCTTTAGACTTAACATCGTAGCTGAAATACTAACCCTAAAGCTGAGATATTATGACACACTGGGGAAGACCATGGCCCTATCAATCACTAGTTCTATGGGTTGGGGCAAGTTACTTATGTTCCAGATGCATTCATATTTTCACTGTTAAAATTGTGCCAAAAACACCTGCCTCATTTGCTTCATAGAGTCGCCCTGTGATACATGAAAGCACTTGGCAAACTGTGGAAGCCAGCAAAAATACAAAATTATTACATGACATAATACATTACTGATGATACCAATTTCTAGGGTTTAATTTTAGGATTACTAATGATTACTCTTTCTTTACTACTGACATGTAGACACACATCAACAACTTCTCATGAGCCCTGTGTCAAGGTTCAGAAGGAGGCCTCTGACCAACTTGTTTTATAAAGCCTTCTACATCCCAAACATGATGAAATCAAGGGAAATTCCCAAGTAAAGTGCACTCCATTGTATGCCCTCGGTGGCTGTGCCCCAATAAATCTCTAGAGTATTCTCTGTCTTCTTAGCATCATCACATCTAAAGTGGGGTGTTGTTGGCATATCTGTGGCCACCCTCCCAGTCTGGTTACTTTTAATAGGAGGGCCTCGAAAGACAGGAGTATGGGAAGAATAAAGTGAAACAGCCCAAGAATACGAGAACAAGGTCAGGCCACTGCCCTGGATCTTTTTTTTGCACACCAGGTAAGGCTCCCAGGGCAATAAGACATTTTTCCCATCCAAGGATTTAAGAATTAGACACAGACTCTTTGAGAACCTTCTGTCCTCTAGCGACCCACAGTCATTTCTCGTGGATTGATAAAGCATCTTCGCTGACCCAATGTCAAAGGTAAGCAAATGTCTCTGGCCTGTCCTCTGAGTCTTTTTTGGATAAGCTTGAGAGATGAAAACTCACATGCAGAGAGGTTCTATGTGTGTTGATTTGTATGCTCAGACAAGCTGCAGGTGTGGAAAGTCTGCCTCCTCCAATGCAATCACCAGCACCTCTCCACATGGAAAAGATGGTGCGGAGGCCAAAAGGAGTCTCTAGGGGTTGTACTGCGGATTTGCCAGCAGCACGACCCCCCAGTATGTGTGGTTTTTTAGAACCTGATGGTCAGAGTTGTACATCAGTTCTAGAATATCCCCAGCGTGCAATTCGTAAGTCCCTCCTACATTCTGAAGTTTAGAGTTGTTTGTTAGAGCTTGTATGATGTCTTCATTTTTACGTAGCCGCACCGCAAAAGGAGCTGGTTCCTTGTAGGTTGTGTTGGGAGCCACTTGGCCATAAATGAGATACAAGCCATTCTGAAGTATTTCCAGTTTCTCATCCGCTGTCTTATTCACACAAGGTAACTTAGGACATGTCATTTGCCATTTTAAAGGGGATGGTCCTGTAAGACATTTACAGAGGAGGAAAGAAAGGAACGCGTGGTTATTCATTTCATTCCCTTCCTGATTATAGTTCTTTCCCACTTACAGGTTGTTTCTCTCCCTAGTCTGTATTAGTTTTCTCCAACCACAATTTTAATATTTTAAGTATCTAGTCCTCGTTTTAGAGCTCTAAAGAAACGGATTTGGAATAGAAAAATGGGTTGAGTGTTAGGGGCACCGTATCTGTTGTCAATCAATATTTGTGAAAGGAACTAAAGAAGGAGGAAGGGAGAGAGGAATCACACACCAGGATTGTGATGACCAAACTTGACAGGATGCATATTCATGCTTTTCTATGTAAATACTATTTATTGTGTATCATTTTATCAATGAGACCTTCCTCATCAGTCTACAGAAAATAGTGCTCTCCTGCCACTCTCTCCCTTTATCCTGCTTTAGTTTTCTTCACAGAAGGTGTGTCATCATCTAGCATATTGTAAATTAAGTGGCTCATTTCTTTATTGTTTGTATTATACCCACTTTGAATATAATGTCTTTGAGTACACGTGCTTCTCTGTTTTGTTCACTGCTATATCTTCAGCCCCTAAAAGTTCCCCAAACCTACTGTTTGCTCAATAAATATTTCTTGATTGAATAATACATCCATGCTCCTGAATTAGATGTATTATGTCTAAATTATAGCTTGGATCCCAAGATCTGCTTGGTATAGCATGGTAAATTCATGAGTTTATAAATGGAAATTATTTGAATTTTTAAATATAAAAATTTAAATTTTTAAGTGTTTAAATATAAATATCCCTAGTTTAAAACTGTCAAGGGATGGAGAAAGAGTCAAGACTTTGTCACTTATTTTCATAGGGATATGGGGAATTTACATATTTTTCTAGTGTTAATTGTTTTTGCATAGTAATGTGACTTCAGAGCCCCAGGGAGTGTCTTGATAATTCAAATATACTTATTTGGCCTGTTCTCTAATTCTCTGTAATTTTTTTATGAGGATTTATTTCATAATTAGAAAGAAACCTCGATAAGAAAGCAATGCAAAAGAGATCACACATTGACTTAAATTGTTATTTATATATAACTGATCGATTATAAGACTCTGAGGGTAGATTCTGAAGGATAATGAAGGAGAGATCATTAGAGCAAGTAGTAAAGTTTCTCTGTACCTTCAATGAGCCCAAAGCCCAGTATATTTCTTTCTGCTTTACACGTAATACTTAACAGACAATAAGCAAGTCACCAGGAAAAAGTGTCACTGGTTCTCTCATTCTGCAGTAGGAGCCACTTAAAGACTTGAGGCCACTTAGCAGCACTTGAGTTTCTCAACATTTTGTCACCTCAAGAAGGAATTTCAAACATATCATTATTTCCACTCCATTTACTAGAAAAACAAGAACAAATTACAAAGGCAGTGACAAGTACTAAAAAGAGATTCTGTAATTCCCTCAAGCCAGGGAAGCCCGGCATTTAGAACTATATGGGAAAAGAGGGATTGCCATTAACTTTAGAAATGTTCTGCTCTTGGCTGAAACGTGTGTGTGTGTGTTGGGGGGGGGGGTCTGAAATATGTAAACAATTCAAATGCATTTATTTTTTATTTTGTATGGATTCTAAGGCATACGTTAAGGCTCAGTGTACCTATAAACTGTGATGTGTTTTCTTAGTGAATACCAGGTCATCACTCTAAGGGAAAGTGGCTCAGAAGCGGAGAGGAGAGGCACAAAGAAAGTGGCCACTTCTCTGGCGTTCATTCCTTTTCTATTTTTTTGGAAACAAAAATGTCGCCCTACACACACTCTACTGAGTACCAGCAACATGTGAACTGTGAGAACTTTGAGTTCGTCAGAGGGAAAGGTGGTAGAAATTTGAAACTTGTGCTTATTGAAGACACAAAATTAAAGGTGGATTCCAGGATTTCAGGTATCTGGCTCTGTAACCGTGATGTGCATTCCTGCCCAGATTTGTGACGGTGAATGTAAGCTTCACTGAGGCATGAACTTGTCTGTCTGGTTTACTTCTCAAGTCTCAGCTCCTAGAAACTGCTCGGCACGTGATAAGCAGTTATAAATAGTAGTTGAAAAATGAGGAAAGATGGGCTTCCTTCTTGGAACAAATACTAAGAAAAGTAAAAAGGAGGCGTGCAAGACAGGTTACTTACCGAACTTAGCTATGCAGGGTTCACTGGCAGTCTGTGGAGGGAAAAAAAAAAGAAGAGCCAGTCAGGAGGATGGCCGTGGCACAGCCTTCTTGATGGGGTTATTTGGTTAGAGGCTTCAGATGCTGAAGCAAACTTCTTTTCCCTCGCCATATTACAAAATCCTGCCCTCCACTTTGCCTTGCCTGTTTTAGCTCTCCTTTGCAGATGGCTGGCTCCATCTTCCCCTTATCACCTAAGAGCCCTTTTGGGTGTTCTAGGCCAAAGTTAAGGTCTCATCCCATCCACCTAACAGGACAATTATTTGATCTCGGACTCTCCTCCTCTTGGGCCATGGGAATTAGCTATAAACAGTAGTCTCCACACCCCAGTCCCTACACCGTGATCCATCGGCATGTGAAAAGAAAATAATAGAATCTCTAGTTGTTTATCTTTATTTTTAATAACGTTAAACTATAGACGTATTCACAATGCAGGCTGGTAAAGCCGCCCTCATCTAATATCCAGACAATCACACCGTTTACAGTAACTGAGGTAACATGAGGAGACTAGCTTCGAACTGTTGTGACATATCACAGTTCACTTGCTACAAGAAGCCACCAGTGTGATTAATTCTATAAATATTGATATTTAAATGCCAAAGACTTTAAAATACTTAGTAGTAAAATAAGGCATAACCACAAGAAAATTTTTTGTACCATGTAAAGTTCATTAGCTTCCTTGCAGAAAAGGGCTTAGGGGACTGTTTGAACTTAAAGATATTGCACATTTTTCTTTTACGGGATTTCTTTGGCTGCTGTGGTGGGAATAAAGCAAAGAGAGGCCAGGGCAAAAGCAGTGAGACCAGCCAAAAGATCATTGTAATCATCTAGGCAAGAAAGCATGGTGCCTCTGACCAAGGTGCTGCTATCCCGACGTGGATATGGGATGAGAAAATGAGAAGACAAAGACGGTCCAAGATGTCGGACATCGGTAACTGAAAAGATAAAGTTGTTAATCACTGAAATGAGCAAGATTTAAGAGGAGTAAATTGAGAGGAAAGAATCTCAAGCTCACTTTTGGACATATCAAGTTTATGACTGATGCTTCTGACATACCCAGTTAGACGCGAGTGTCAGGTAGGCCTTTGGATCTACGAGGATAGAATTTAAGAAGTTTTAATGATATACATTTTGGAATCTTTAGCTTCTATGAGACACTTTAAGGTGTGAGGCTGTGTTAGATTGTCAAGGGAGTGAGTACAGATAGAGAGGAGCACTGGAACACTGCAGGGTTTGGAGGTCAGGAAATGAGGAAGAAACACCAAAGGAGACCAGTGAGTCAGAAGGGAAACTTGAAGAGTGTGATGTTGGAAACAAAGAGAAGAAAGCATTTCAGAGACATGTGATCAGCTCTATCAAATGCTGCTGCTGGGTCAAGTGAGGTGAGGACGGGGAATTAACTGATGGATTTGATAATATAGTAGCCGTTGGGGTTCTTGGCAAAAGTAGTTTCTGTGATGCGGTGAGGACAGAAGCTTAATTAGAATGGATTTAAGGCTAAATGAGAAAAGAAAAATCGGGGGAATTTTGCTGTAAGGGAAAACAGAAAAATTAAGTGGAGGCTGGATGGGGATGAGAGGTCAGAGGAATGTTTTGATTTTATTGTTTTTCTTAGTCTTTGGTTTTGTTTTAACATGGAGGAACTGACAGCATGGTTATCTGTTGCCATTTGATGGGAATGTTCCAGCAAAGGGGAAGGAGGGGTGTGAAATAGAATGTAAGAGCAAGGAGATAATTGTTGAAGCAGTCAATGCCCTTAAGTAAGAAGGGACAGAATCTGGTTCATAGGATGCCTTAGATAGGTTCATGAACAATTCATGCACAGTGACAAGATGGTAGACAAGTGGTAGATATGATGGGGAGCTTTGGAACTTCTTTCCTGCCTACTTCTATTTTTTCATAGAATTTGGAGACAAGGTTTTCAAGTGAGAAAGAGAATGAAGAAAAGATATTGCATATTTAAACTAAAGTCAAAGGAATAAAATAGTCCAGTAGAGGAGAGTGGAGAAATAAATATAGGTTATGACAGTCAAAACTGTGAATCAAAGTAAATTAGCTTAGAATATAATCTTCAAATTATTGTATCACAAAATGTTAAACTAAGGTTAAGAAAATAAAAGAAACACATTTATTGAATTACTGAAATATTATTTTGGTTATATTAGAAATGTTTATATGATATTAACATGTAAAATATAATATTTTGGTAAAAGCAAAATAGTTTTGCACTGTGAATATACTATTTTAAGCATGTCATTTGGTTCCTTATAAGTTTTCATTTTGTGTATCTTTTTATTATACCTGGTATTAGCCCTTATCGCTAACATAATAAATTAGCATATATGGGGGATTATACTCAAAAATATTTTGTTGATAAGGAGGTCCAATCAGAAAGTTTGGATTCCTACAATTGTCTTTGCTCTTGAAATCATTTCATTAGGAGACACCCTTTTGGGGTGTCTTAAAAGAAATGCTGAAATTCAGTTTAGTTTGATCCATGATAGGCATGTGCTAGATTCCCTTATCTTCCGTTTTCTCACTTATAAAATGGGAGACATAACAGCACCTAGTTTACTGATGGTGTTTATGGGCTTAAATATAATAATCATGAAGAAGGGCTTTGCCCATACAGATCTGGTCCTGCTTATTAAATATTAGCTGTTTTGATAATGATGCTGACCATAATGAAGAACGGAAAAAAACATTGATCCTATAATCCCAGCCCGCATAGTAAGCAAGAGAAACACAAACAATTCATAGTCCTCGTCTCTCAGGCAGCTAATGATCTTTCTAGAAACACATGATCACACACATGAGGCAATTGGGTAACAACCTGAATATAAGTGAGTGCCAAAGACTGTGGCACAGATAGCATCTGTGGTGTCTCCCATTGCACATAGAGTGTGTGTGGAGAAACCTGAAGCCACAGACAAATTAGTTGCCAGAGACAGAAATCGTGGGTGCTGCACTAGGGCTGCTTTAATGTCTACTTAGAACTACAGAAACCACCACTGACATTTTCTACTGCCACAAATGAGAATCTGTCCAATCACAAAAATCCTCTATTTGGCAGTAAGGTATAATCTTTATTTTTATTATTTTTTTTATTGTGTTTTGTTAGTCACCCTACAATACATCATTAGTTTGTGATGTAGTGTTCCAAGACTCATTGTTTATGTCTTTAGCTGAGGAAATGAAACAGATGAACAAGGAATGTCCGTTTTCGTAAAAGCCTTTTTAAATTTATCCTCATTAAGTTTAAATTTTTTAAATTAAATTACGATGTCAGCAATAATGTGGATATGAATCACTATAATCTATCAGAGCCTGCTACAGGTCAGGCACTGTCCCATCTCATTAATCCTTACTGTAGGTCTAGGGGGTAGGAAGTAGCATGCTCATTTGCAGATGAGGAAGTGCATCTGAGAGGGATTAAGTAACTAACCCAATGTCATGCAACTGATAAGAGGCTATGCTGAGATCCAAACAGCCCATCTGATTCAAAAGTCTCACCCCTACTACTCTGTGGGGGCAGTTTCTTTTTATAATACCGCTGATGTTTACAAGAGAGGTAAATATCCATTTATGAAGAAGCATATGGGACTTTCCATTTAATTTAATTCATTTTTGCTTTGAAGGAGCAATTGCTCTTGTAACTCCATTATGACATAAGCCCAGATTTAAATGTTTGGGTTCAAATGACCAAAACAATAGCTCTTTCTTCAAACCAACAACCAACCCTACTTAGATCACCATTTGGAGATAGACTCTATTCTGCTTCTAAGTACAAACCCAACTTCTCCTTTTGGAAGCATCTTTCATTTCATTGAAGCAGGGAACTCTTCTGAACATTCGTTTTTTGGGTTTTTTTGTTTGTTTGTTTTGTTGTGTTTCGTTTTAGAGATAACTTCTGTTAGATTATTTTCACTGAGGGGTAGACCAAACTCCTTGGGTTCATAGCCAATCCTTCAAGTTGAATGTCTGTTGAAAGATAGGGATGGGGGAGGAGAAAGATTGTGCTCCCAAAGAAATTTCTGTTGGTGTAGAGGAAGCCAATCTTCCTGTCTAATCCTTTTTAAATTAGTGCCTAGAGATGTTGGAAAGTGGGATTTTGTATATAAAAACTAGAGAGGATTAAAAAAAAAAAAAAAGAAAGAAAAGAAACCTCCAAGGTTGATGTGTATGGTAAGAAGGTGGAAGCAGCCACCTCATAATGACTCACCATCCGCTAGCCACACAGTCCTCTTTTCCTAAGATACTTATTTGTGGCCAATGAGGAATGGGAAGTGCAGTCAAGTGGAAAGTGAGTTATTGCATCGTGTCAGCCAGGCCTTTGGCTTTTCCTATAGGAAATAAGCCTTTATGACATCCAATCATGATCATATCCTGAAAACCTTTAAAATCTCCCCAAATTTGAAATAAACTCTAGGCTGCTTCTTTAGAGGAGGAACCTTTCATTGAGAAGATGCACGTTGTCTAGGAGAGAGAATCAGAGCTTGATCACATGGGCTTGATCAAGTTCAGTTCTGGCAAGAGGTATTCTAGGTACCTCTGGCATCATTAGACATCCTCTTTCCCTTTGCAGAAGCCACTGTGTTCCTTTGAGAAGGAATATTCAGCCCCTTCTATGCATTGGTTCCCTAGCCATATGTAGGAGTGGATAACACCTATAACATTATCTTATATTCTTCAGGAAATCTGGTTAAAAATTGAGTTGCTCTAGAGGGGTGAAGTCTTCCGAAGTTAAGCTCTTGCTATTCTCACCCTTCCTTTTCTTCACAAATCAAAACACTCAGAATTCCTGACAATTCTTTTCTTTCTGTTCAAGCATCACTTCTCCAGAAAGTTCAGACTTCTGCTTGATACATTCCTGGAGAGAGTAGGGGTGTGATTAGAAAGGCCTCTGTTGCATATCCTTGTGTACAGTTGGGGAATACAGATTAATGGTTTAATGTCTAGGAATGTGACCAAAGCTACACTTCCCCTAACTAAATTAATACCAGCAACTACCGTGTCCTTCCTCCTGTGTCTTTTCTCAGTGGCTTTTAAATTAAGTCACAGAAACACATTTTTGGAGATTTCACCAGCCACTCCCCTTAAAAAATGTGTCTGCAGGTGCTAATTGCATATGGCCCTTTCTTAGATAGGCATATACTACTATATTCTCTCCAAGGTGCAGAATCTTCAAATGTACCCCCAAATAGTCTAACTCTTAAGTTAAATAAAACATTTCTTATTTTCTTTTGGTCAGTGCTATGTAGTCAACAGTCAGAAAAACTTAAGAATCTAATATATCTCCAGTTCTTTTACTAGACCCACAACTTGGTTTGGAGCTCAATGGGAAATTCCTGATAAGCATCAGGGGCTTCCCAAATACAAATGTGCTTCCTCCTTCTTCCATGAAGCCTTCCCTGATCACTCTAGCCCAAAGCCATTGTCCCCTATTTTGAATTCCTAAAGCATTTATGCTCTCTATTATCCTTAGATAAATTATTAATCACTGTATTTTATAGCTGGAAGGGGCACTGTAATGAACAAATCCATTCTCCTACCCCCATTTTTCAGATGAAGAAACTGAGAACCAGAAAGACTAAATGTCTTTCTTAAATTCATACAGCTAGGGAGACCTAGAACAAGAATCCAGATCTTACTTCCTAGTTCAGTGCCATTTCCTTCCATGAAGATGCACTCACCACCAGTCACTCACCTTCTTCTGTCTTTCATTATCTCCTTATATCTTTTCCCTCAATAAGACTATATGTTGCATCCCATTCCTTGAAGGCAGGCATATGTTTTATACCTTTATACATTTTATACCTTTATTCCACCAAGAGGGGTTAACAGAGTTCCAGAAAGGGAGAAAGTATTCCCAGGCATCTATCAATTGACTGATTTAATTAAATGATTCTATCTGACCCAGCTATGCAGCTAACATGTAGCACTTTCTAGTACCTTTCATTTCAAAACATTTATATAAACCTCAAAAGCCATATGCCATGACAAACTTGAAACTTTTTGCATTTTCTATACCCACACATCTCTTCCAACTAGCTCTAACAATACTGAATGGCAATGATAATAAATAGACTTCAAAAGAAAGGCAGCAATTTTAGGTACTATGATCTCCTTACCTTGAGTGGAAGAAAAGTGAGAATTAATGTACTGAAGGAGAAAAGCAACAGCAAAGGAGCTATCACTGAGTAGAGGCACCATTGCTTCCAGGATGATCTGTGTGTCCCTTGAGGACCTGAATGGCTTAAAGGCATATCTTCCATGAGGCTCAAACTCGTTCTCTGCAGGAATAAGAGCTCTGGAAAGCAGAAATTCACAAGTGATGGTCCAGCGATGCAACTAGTCAGTTTTGTGGTATGATAATTAGCAGTGGGTGTAATAGGCGGGGTTTTCCTTTTGATTCTGTGTGTTGGAAAACGATACTTTTGGGCTAAGTGATGACTCTCATTTGGCAAAGGACCAAATGCACTGAAAGGAACAGAGGGCTAGAAGCCAACACAGACAGAGAGGATGAAAAAAAACCAACACAAGGAACTTACAGAGGGAAAAAGTTCTTTTCTGAAGAGGAAGTACAGTACTGTGTAACATTACAAATTAATTTCAGATAAGGAAATTACTTATAAAAGAAGAAATAAAGTTCAACATTAAGCCCTGTCATGCTCTAGATATCATGTATGTGTAAAGCAGGGGTTGGGGATCTAGGGAGGCTAGGGTGCATGGTTTGGAAAAAAGAGTTTCATCAATTTCTAGGATATAAAATATGTTCCTTTTGAAATAGTCTCTAGAATACAGCTGCATTACTAGAATTTCATTTTTAAAAAATATAAATACAACAAGCCCAGTTTTCTCACATCTAATCATTTTAAAACCCTGGAAGTTTCATACTGGCATCAAATAAAGTTATCATACAAAAGGATGTTTTCCTACACTTGCACATGTGAGCTTATACTCCAAAATACTTGAGTTTCTGGCACCGAAAGTGCTGACTTACTACAAAATTGAGGAAGTCCCTGGTTCTCTGTACTTCAGTGTTTCCATCTGTTCAATGGAATACCTACCTTTTTTTTTTTTTTTTTTTAACAGAATGCCAGGATCATGTGCTAAAAAGAACATGGATTTTTAAATCAGAACTGAGAGGAGAGCCTGGCACTACCCAGCTCTTACCTGGCCTTTGGCATGATACTTGACTTCTCTGTTTCGTTCATTTTTAAATTGAGAAAATTCCCACTTCACGAGGATTGAGAATGAAATGAATGTGAAAAATCTGCCTTATATGAGATGTTCCATAAGTGTTTATCTCTTTTCCACCCTTCTTAAATACTATACTGTAGTATACTATATACAGTCTAAATTTGGAATCCATCACAAAATCCTGGAAAGTAATGATTTAAAAGAAATATTTACAGCAAGGTATTATTCAACTGAAGTTCTTTTAAATAAAAGTTTAAATGAAAGCATTTTGAAGAAATTATGTTTTAATCTAGGAGAATCAAAGGTTTTTTTTTTTTAATTAGGGGGAAAAGGCTTACAGATTTAAGATCCTCATTTATAAAAGAGAAAGCTAAAGATAATAGAGGTTTTGTGGTGGGTCACACCATGAAATGCTGGGTGTAGTGGACTGGGAACCTGAGCTCAGGGATACTAACCATCTTCTAACCTACCATCTTCTCTTAATATCACACTATTTGTAACAGTATTTCTCCATGTGTTGTCACATTTTAACTTGGCCTTATTTTACCTTGATCAATCAACTATCTCTGAAGAAGAATCCAGAGTCAGAGAGGAATAATTTTTCAGTACAACAGTGTTTCTGTCCCTCTGTGCTAGGTGTTGGGATACAGAGATGAATAACAGACCGACCCTAAAAGAACCATACATTGTACCTAGAACTGCGGTACTCACATCAAGTCTGTAATGCACGTGCACAAGGACAGAATTTAAAACTGACTCCTGAAAATTTAGACTTCTGCTTCTTTGAACTGCTCCCTCTCCTGTCTCCTTTCCAAACTTTAGATGGAAATGTCTCTGCTTACTCACTTCAGTAAACATTTATTCAAATGAGGAACTGTTCCAAATAAAATCCAGTTCCTCCTTCTACCCTTGACCAAGGTTGGCCTCTGCTATACCCTTATTTATTATTTTGACTTAATGAAAGTATCTTAAGAAAGATAACATGCTTATCTCAAGAAGAATACATTCCAGGGCTTCTTTTCATGAAACGGGGTTCCGAAATGAAGGAACTTCAGGTTAGAACAAGTGCTAGTAAGGAAGACTTTTGAAATTCTGGAGTAATGAGTCACCACCATTGGTTCATTTTAGGTCTAAGCTGTAAGAATTGACGTTTCAGATGTGACCTCTTAGGACACGACAAGAGCTCCAAACTCAAGCTTTTGTATTTATGACCTAACACTGGATCACATACTTAGAATGAGATTTTTTTTTTCAATTAAGTATGTTGAACATTTCCTATCAGCTTGCTACTGTTCTAAGAGCTTTGGGAGATATAAAAAGTCACAGGTGTCAAGGAATTTCCCACACACTAAATTGAAACCTTAAGCAGAGGCCCAAATGAATACTAGAGGACAGAGTCTCAGAGAACAGAAAGATCTGGATAAACTAAATTAACTGAGAACACAAGTTAGAAATGGATTGAGAGGAGAGAGGAAGGAGCTCTTTCTTGTGGGGGCCATAAAACCTGAGGAATAAATATTCAGAGGTATAGACATCATCAAATGTTAGAAAACATTTTAAAAGCTTAATATGAACAAAGGCAAAATGCCAAATTTTTGAATGGATCTAGTAGTTCTCTTTCAAGAGCTGCAAAATAAGGAACTCAGGAAAACTCGTAAAAGAAAATCCTATATGTTTTGGGTTTAAAAGAAAGAATGTAAGACATGTTTGATTAAGTTATTTTAACTGTATTCTTGGTTGTTTCAAATTTGGGATGAGTTAGATATATAGAAACGTGGCTCTAGCTCAGTTATTGTCCACATTACGCTAACAAGAATTGGGCACCGATTATGTGTCTTCTCTGTGCACAGATGGTTCTAGCTGAGCATTTAGCAACCCTCTATTGACATCCATATTTACAAATGATGAGACTGACATTGAGAGGATAAATCAGTAGTCCATACTAATAGAGATTGAATCCCCATCTTTTGAATTCCAGAACTCTGATTTTTCTGCCTCTATATGCTGAAATATATGTGAACTGGATGCTATCTGGAAGAAACAGAGTGGGATACATATTAAAATCTGTGAGAAAATATTAGATGGACATCAGATTCCTCCAAAGCCATGCATTACTCAGGTCTGCATGCCTTGCCACATTCTTTTTATATATATACTTACCATGACTTTATCCTTGGGACAGTCTATGGTGTAGCATACTCAGTCAGAAATACTCAGTATATCAGAACTCAGTAATGCTGCACAACTGATTTTGCTTACTCTAGATACCAGAGTATTCACTCGTGTGACAAATAAGTCCCATTTAGCTTGAAGTTACATAGAGATAGATAGATAGATAGATAGATAGATGATAGATAGATACATAGATGATATATAATAGGCATGATACATAAATAGGGTCTTAAACTCAGAATTTTATAAAGACAACAACAGTATCTACTAAAATTAATAAACAAATTTAATAAAGAGAATTGTGTACAGCTAATTATACATAAATATATATACAACTATACACATATATGTATAATATATGTATTTTACACGTATTTATATGTGATATGTACAACAAATTTTAAAAGATACACAGAGACTTCTTGTATCAATTTCCAGATCATTCTAAGAAACAAAAAATAACCCTTATCAGGATGGTCTAGGAAATAGTTGAAATTCAAATTGGGTTTTCCTTATTTCACTATTTGAAGATGACATGATACTATATAGAGAAAATCCTAAGGAGTCCACCAAAAACTGCTGGGACTGACAAATTAATTCAAAGTAAAGTCACAGGATACAAAATCAATGTACAGAAATCTGTTGCATTCCTAAACACTAATAATGAAACAGCATAAAGTGAAATTAAGAAAACAATCCCATTCGCAATTGCATCAAAACAATAAAATATCCAGGAATAAATTTAACCAAAGAGATAAAATACCTGTACCTTGAAAACTATAAAACAGATTAAAGAAATTCAAGACAATGCAAAGAAATGGAAAGGCATTCCATGCTCACGTGTTAGGAGGAAAAACATTGTTAAGATATATACTACGCAAAGCAATCTGTTACAGATTTAATAAAAATATCAACAGCATTGTCCACAGAACTAGACCAAACATCTTAAAATTTTTATGGAACCAGAAGAGAGGAGTACTCAGAAGTATCCCAGACAATCTTGAAAAGTAAAACCAAAATTCAGACTTCAAGTTGTATTTTTTCAAGCTGTAGTAATCAAAACAGTATGGTAATGGCACAAAAATAGACACATAGATCAATAGAATAGAAAACCCCAAAATAAACCACAAATAAATAGTCAACTAATCTTTGGCAAAGGAGGAATGAATATACAATAGGAAAAAGTCTCTTCAACACATGGTGTTGGGAACACTGGACAATTACATGCAAAAGAATGAAACTGGACTGCTTTCTTAGACAGTACACAAACTCAAAATGGATTAAAGACCTAAATGTGATACCTGAGATGATAAAAATCTTAGAAGTAAGCACAAGCAGTAATTTTTCTGACACTGGCAATAGCAGCATTTTTCTAGATGTCTCCTGAAGCAAGGGACATAAAAGCAAAAATAAACTATTGGGATTACATCAAAATGTAAAGCTGCACAACAAAGGAAACAGTCAATAAAACTCAAAGGAAATTTACTGAATGGGAGAAGATATTTGCAAATGATGTATCCAATAAAAGGTTAGTATCCAAAATATATAAAAAACTTATAAAACTCAACACCCATAAAACAAATAATACACCTAAAAGACATTTTAATTGGATTATTAAATGGGCAGGAGATATGAACAGACATTTCTCCAAAGAAGATGTAGAGATGGCCAACAGATACATGAAAAGATACTCAACATCACTGATTATCAGGGAAATGCAAATCAAAAGTACAATGAGCTACCACTTCACACCTGTCAGAAAGACTAAAATAAAAAAACACAAGAAACAAGTATTGGTGAGGATGTGGAGAAAAAGGAATCCTCATGCACTGTTGGCGGGAATGCGAACTGGTGTGACTACTGAGGAGATACTTGCCCATCAGTGTTCAAGTCCTTAACATTGTATTTGGTACATAGAAGACATTCAATAATGTTTTCTAAATGAACAAGGGGAACAACATGTCCTTTTGTGATATTTTGGAATCCTTTTTATAGA